CCCAGGACTGACCCGGGTCAGAACCACTGAGTTTAGAGACCCGGGTCAGAACCACAGCAGCAGACTGACCCGGGTCAGAACCACTGACCCAGGACTGACCCGGGTCAGAACCACTGACCCAGGACTGACCCGGGTCAGAACCACTGACGGGTTTCTCTTCCCGTTTGGGGCTGAAAACCAGCTGGATGCTTCCTGCTCTGGTTTTTAAACTCTGACCAACGTCTGAGCCTCTGATCCAAACCAGAGTCCAGAGAATCAGAGTTCTGCTGGTTTTCCTCCAGAATCAGGCTTCATTTCCTGGACATCGGCTTAGTTCCAGCATCCAGAAATGAAGGAAACTTTGTTCTGATGAGCTGAAACCAGTGGACTAGAAGCTGGAACTCAGAGCTGTGGGTCATTTTAGACTTCCTGCTTTAGGAAACAGCCAATTTGAGACTGACCCGGGACAGAGGGACTGACCCGGGTCAGAAGGGTCCAGAGGACCGCAGCACTGTGAGCTTAACGCAGATCTCATCAGAAGAAACGTGACAAATACTAGATCCTGTACACTTGCCAGTTATGGTAAAGTTGTGAAATTTGTTGACCTGTAAAAATCGTCATAAAAAAGACAAATCAAATGCAAAGGAATTAATTCACTGACCTCTTGTTTTCCCCATTATTTCCCCAAATTGTCCAGTTAGACGTCCATCCAGACAGCTTGAAATGCTGAATATGAATATTGAATATTCATACAGGAATGAATGTAACACAGAACTGTTTCTAAACCCTAAATAAGGTGAAGAAATAAGGTGCAGGTCAGGTGAAGTTGTGTTAATCTCCACTGAGTGAGTGCACACGTCTAAATAACAAATCAGAGAAATATTAGTGCGGTGAGTTTTGAAGAATAACCTGAAGATAGGAAATGGAGATTTTAAAATGTGCTACAACCTCTAAAATACACTAAAGAGAAGCAAAATAAAGTATACATAAGTGTAAGAGGTGCATTTACATGTTTATATGACGTGTCATAATGTAACATATCTGGTGTGTTTGTCTTATTGACTGAAGTATTAAAATGAGAATTATGTGATCAAAAATACTTTGATAATGACGTCTCGTCTTTCCACTGTTTAAACGCTGAAGGCAAGCAGATTTATGGTGAGAAAAGAAAACTCTGCCTCATTTCTTGTTTTTCATTTGGGTAAAAAGGATTAATTTCTTATGAGAAAAATAAAACACATCTCTAAATGTTTGATTCTTTTGTGGCCTCTCTTTCCCTTTTTGACCGCACAGGCATCAGCAGAGTTTTAGCACCATTTCTAAAAATGATCACAGTATTGTCACAAATACACAAAAGGGGGAAGAGGGGACTCACATGCAGAAAAAGAGCACGAGAAAGAGGAGTGAGTATGGAGGTGTCAGCCCCGTTCTTTAGCTGGAAGCCTGAGAATAAACCAGAGCATATCAAAGGGGACATTTATTGGTCACAGATAAAGTAAACCAACTGAGCCCCAAAATCCAGGAGTGATGGACATTTATCTTCTGGGCTGGACTGGAACTGAGTGCTATTGGTCAGTTAGCTCTGACATGAACAGGCAGCTCCTAATTAATGCAGATTTCACTGGAATGTGGTAACAAAGTGTGTGTGTGTGTGTTGTCTGTGATTGTTTGTCCCATCTGTCTGGACAATGCTGCGGACTGCATTTTCTTTTTATTTCCAGCTGAAGTTGTGCAAGTGCTTAGGACTGCCCTGAGAGTAGTTCATAGCTAACTATAACTGAGCTAGTCTCCTCTGTTTTCCTCCCAAATAACAATGAACCCCTTTGTCTTTCTCTTCTTTACAGAGTTTTTCAAATGTTTAAGGTTGCTTGAACCCAACACATTCAAAGCCACGTCCTCTTTGTGTGACTATAAAAAAGCTGTTCTGAGACATAACCCTACCAGCAATTAGACCCGGCCGTTAGCTTTGTTCCTTTACTGCCCTTCTTCACTTCCTCTTGAAGTCAGGATTGAGTTGCTCTGAAAAAAGTGGATATTCTAACTGCTGTCACCTGTTTGCAAGCAGAAAAAGTGGTTTTGTAAATGTGTGGTTCATACAGCCATGGTCTGGAAAAAGGAATCAAAGTCCACCCAATGCCCCAACAGTCACAGAAATGTAGTGTTTTAACAATCTTTATTAAGTAAACTCTACACTTTTAGTATTGCTTTTTTATTCTTTTCTCTCTAAATTAGAACCTTTTGCAGTAAGTACATATAGAAGCCTTCAAACGAGCTACACTTCAGAGGAATACAAAAATATCACAGTACATTTTCTACAAAGTCACCTCGGGGTCCACAGCCCTGCAGCTGCCTGGACAGAGTGGAGCGGGTCCTGTGGGAACAGCACCATCAGGGTTCACCACCGTAGAGATCTGGACACAGACACACACAACCTGCAGGGACTCAGCGTGTTGGGAACTCCTCTCCTGCAAAAGAGTCATTCTTTGGTCGCGTTTAACTGCGTGTGAGAGGCCGTACGGGTGATAGAACTGGTCTGGATCCATCTCCTCTGTGTGCTGAAACCTCCTGCTGTAACCTGTGTGTTCACCAAAAACACGACTTCAAACGTGGACGTCTAGTGAGTGGTGGAAGACAACTTTAGATCAACCGAAGCCTCTACTGGAACCCCTAAATGCAGTAGTCCTGTTCCTGCTGGGAGAGGTTCTGGGGGTGAGATATGGCCTCTGGTTTGGACTGGAAACCGGGTTAGGGTTCACATCCCTCCTCAGGCGGGCTGAAATGGAAGTATAGATCCTCCATCATTCTCACCAGGCTAAAAAAGACTCCCCTGGGTGGTGACTGTTTTTGTGTTTTTGGACCGGAATGTTGCAGTGTCCCACACTCAGTGGCTCCAAAACAAAAGCTAGAAAAAACTACACAACAGTGGAAATGAAGTGAACAAAACATCCCTTTCAGTCTTCTTTTAAGGGGACAACAAAAAACAAGGTCTTCTCATAGTTACACAAACAAAGCGTGGCGATTGTGTCCGGGTTCTCAGACACACACACACGGACTCAGTGGGGGGGAGAAAGCGTCCCGTTGCTTTTCCCGTTGCTTTTTCCGGTTCTTATAGCGGTCCTACAGAGCGGGCCTGGGGTTGGCAGTGTCTGCTCTCCTTCAGGGGGAGAAGGTGGCCATCTCCAGGGAGATGCGCTGCCACAGCTCCTTGGTCTGCTTTCCTCTCTTCAGGTTCTGCAGAACGTCGTTGAACTGCATCATGCCCACCGGCGTCAGGCAGAAGGCCCCCCGGGCGCTCCGGATGATGTTCACAAAGTCATCGTAGTCCGCCGGAGTCAGGTGGATGAGCCGGTGGTGGATGTACTGCAGAGGAAAAGAGAGAGAGAGAAGGAATGGTCAGCTCACAGCTTCCATTTCAGTGTGTTGCCTCTAACAGAGCAGCCTGAATCAGTTTGGTTTGCAGATCTTCAGACTCTCTGTGAGACAGACACTCTGTAACCAGCTTCCATTTGATTGATTCGTTTGTTTATTTATTCATTTTGACCATGTCCTGTTCAGCATTCACAGTACAGAGAGCCCCTCCCAGCTATGGAGTGATGAGTGGATATACAGTGGGGGAAATAAGTATTTCATAGTAGTGAGAAATAAATATTTTTTGGTTAAACTTGTTTGGACTTATTGTACAAACCAATTTAATATACACTATTTTAACATAATATTTATAGAGTTTAATTCAGTGTTTGAAAGATTAATTTAACTATTTTTAATTAATTAATTAATTAATTAATTAAATTAATTAATTGCCATGAAGCAATTAGGATTTTCTTGCCTGGGAACTTCCTATTGTTGATGCAATCAAAATGGCCGACTTGGATGTGGGCGGAGTTGGATATGTACTTGATTAATGGTAGCATGTTACTATTAGCCATTAGCCACAGCTAGCAAGGCTAACGTCTTGTTAATGATCATAAACAACGTAAATAAATACATAAATAAATTAGAGAGAAGGGGGGGGTATCGATACTTTTGAAAACGAGTATCGTATCTGGATACAACATTTTAGTATCAGTACTTTTTCGAGTATGGATACTTTTGACAGCCCTACCTGCAGGTAGGCCTGCTGGCAGCGCTGCACCAGCTGGTGGAAGGCGGGCGTGCGCAGGTGGGCGTGGATGTGGGCGGGGTTCAGCCTCTGCAGAGCCTCCATGATGATTTCCTGCAGGACGAAGGGGCTGAGCACGCCTTTAGCTGCTCCCACGCAGAACTGGTACACATAGTTCACTCCTGATCCACAGGGAGAACACAGGGGTCAATGGACAGGACACAAACTCAGATCATTAGCACACACACACACACGATAAAGTGAGGACCAGAAAAATGTCCTCACTTTCAAAAAAAAGTCCTCACTTTGTTGGTTAAAAACTAGTTATGGTTCTCACTCTGCTGCAGCAACAAACACACACACACACACACACACACACTGTAACACGCACACACACACACAGACACACACAGGCCTCCTACCCAGCCTCGCAGCCAGTCCCAGCAGCCATTTGACGTCCTCTGTGTAGGGTGGGCTCCGGGAGAAGTTGTTGGGATGGTCGTTATGAGCCCTCCTGCCCAACATCTCCAGCGCCAGCATGCCTTCACAAAGAAAATCACCACACTTATTACCTAGGGTGACTATATTCTGATTTCCAAAAAGAGGACACTCCTCCTCCAGACGGATCCAGACAGGCTTCTCAGATGTTCATGAACAAGCTTTATTAGACCTCAATGCTACAAAAAGAACTTGGTAGTAAAACACAATCTGGAACAACCAGGAACTAAATGATAGCCCTCCTTTAAAAGACATCCATCAAATCAAATCATCTTCTAAATATGACCTCTTCTGGATTAGAAAATACAGCTTCTACTAAATCCCTCTGAATACCCTCTGAATGGAAGAAATGAAACACTCTCACTACCATACAAACCCAACAAACAAAAAGATATACACTAAGTAGAGATCCTTTTTGTATCTATACACTAAGTTGAGATCCTTTTAGTATCTATATACTAAGTAGAGATCCTTTTAGTATCTATACACTAAGTTTAGATCCTTTTTGTCCCACTTGTCGTGACCTGGACGGTACGTGGGACTTTTTTTTTTTTCGTTCGTCTGAAGCTGCACTTTGGTTTGGGCATTTTGACTCCAACGCTGGTTGCTCTGCTCCCTGTGTGTGTGTGTGTGTGTCTCTGTGAGTACTGTAGTATTCTGTGCAAAGCATCAGTCTATTTAAGCAGACGATTCTGGTCCCATGATAAACAGTGAAAACATGTTCACGAATCTATAATGATGTAAAAAAGTAGGACATGTCCGGGCTAAAGAGGACGTTTGGTCAACCAATGTTCTCCTGACCCACATCACCTCACCGACTCCTTACCAACTCTGTAGGCAGAATGCAGGTAGTGCAGGCCCTGTTGGCTGATTTGCTGACTGTGCTGGTCATCTTCTGCTGGGAACGCGGCGCTGACCAGTGGGGCGGGCTGGGGGGGGGGGGGCAGAGATGCACCCTGTATGGCCTGGATGGTGGGGCCTGTGTGGACACTTCCCACTAAAAAACACACAACAGGCAGGAAACAGGTGAGCAGGGATGGGGATGGTTAATATTTATTGATATCGATACCTTTATCGATACTCCTTATCGATCCGAGTCTTTATCGATACCACTATCCATACTTTTCTGTTATTTGGTGGAAAGACGAAGCGACAATATTTAGCAAAGAAATAACTGTATTTTAAATTGAATGTAATTTTTAATAAATGTTGGCACCAGTAGTTTAATTATATATTCTAAAATAATTAGAGCAATATACAACTGTATTACTCATGTTTCTCGCCAAAAACTCAATTTCCCTTTTCTTAACGTTACACTTGAACGCATCATGATAATCTAATTGTGGTTTTACTGAGCCAATCTGAACACATCATCACGCAGCACATCTGAAACTTGATTTACTTTTCAAGCTAACTAGCTTGTATGCTGATGATTACAACACGGATTTCACAATTACTATTGTAATAATAAAAAACCACCAGACTCCATAGTGGTATCGATAAGCCCAAACGGTGTTGATTTTCGGGTTTTGAAAAAAGTGACCCTGAGGGTCCTGACCTGCCACGGTGGTGCTCAGGGGCAGGCCGGTCTCCGCGTGGTAGGGATGGACAGCGATCTGGGTCATAGACGGAACGGGAACACCAGGGAAAGTGACCGCTGTGGCGGCCATAGGCGGCTGGGGGCCGGTGGCGACTGAAAACGGGAACTGGGCCCCGATAAAAGCTGGATGCATTCCCTGAGGACACATACAGTGGGGGAAATAAGTATTTGAGCCCTTGCTGATTTAGCAGGTTTGCCCACTTACAAAGAATGCAACGATCTATAACTTTAATCATATGTACATTCTAACAGTGAAAGACAGAATCCCAAAGAAAATTCCAGAAAATCACATCATATGAATTTATAAAAATTGATAACCATCTGATGAGGAAAAATAAGCATTCTTTGTAAGTGGGCAAACCTGAAAAATCAGCAAGGGGTCAGATACTTATTTCCACCACTGTAGAACAGAAATGATAAAACTGAAAAATACAATCTTTAAAAATATACAGTGGTTATCAATTTTTATCAATTCATATGATGTGATTTTCTGGAAATGGCTGGCAGTCAATGAGTTAAAAATGTAAAAATACACATGTACATTCGTACCA